CTAAGCTTCATATATTTTATAGAGGGGTAATACAAAATCAAAATATTACATGATTTTACATGGTTATAAAGTAAGCCTGTTTTCTGTAAATCTTACTACCATATAGAGATTGTGAGGTTTTATGTAAGAAATTTTCAGTTAATTTGTTTCATCCAAACAAGTATCACTATTGTTTGAGTGACAACACGGGCATGTTTACATCATTCTGCATTTATTACTGTTATACCTGTTGTAATTCCATCTATAAATTTCAGAATCTATGTTAACCATTTAATGGTATATATAGTATATGTAATTATGAGCATTTATATGTCATAATGTATATATCCTTCTTTGGTTTTATAATTAGAGTACTTTACATATTCTATAAATAAATATAGGCAAGACACTAGTGGCTCGTGCCTGCAATCCTAGCTACTCATTGAGGCTATGATCTAAGGATCCCAATTTGAAGTCAGCTCAAGAAGGAAAGTCCATGAGAATTTTATTTTTAATCAACCAGCAAAAAGGCAGAAGTGGAGCTGTGGCTCAAGTGGTAGGTAGATTGCTAATCTTGAACATGAAAGCTCAGAGATAGCACCTAGGCCTTGAGCTCATGTCCAGCACTGGCCATCAGACATATACATATACAATACGTAAATAATAGATGGATAAATAAGTACATAAATAAATTAGATTATCTCAGGCTAGTGAAGGTGACATTATGAAATCTTTATTACATAAAAGGGATACTCCATATTTTAGGATACAAAATTAAGACTTTTATAATTTTCAATACTAAAATAAAATGGAGCCCTCCATCCGACTTACTTATTAAATCATTCATTAATCACTTTTGGCTATTCCATTACTTGGAGGATTTATTTGCACATAAGAAAACTTACAAACTGCCTGTTGACTTTCCATCAAATGCCTACTACTGCATTACTTTTATCTTTTTTATATTTCATTTTATTTTCTTTCCTATTATTAATAGAATCAAGTTTTCTTTGAGTGTTTCAGAAGGTCAGATGGTACACTTGGGATCCATCTGCTTCAGTAAACCACATAAGCACTGTCCCTGTATTGGCTCTCTACCACTGTTCCCTCTAGAAACAATGAAATGAACAAAAACCTCTGTTTTTGGTGCTGGCATTTTCTAGGTATATAACTGCCTGAACATTAAGACTAGGAGAAAATCTGAATTCTTGGATCTTTTTTTTGTATTTTTTTTTACTGTGAAGGATTACAATTACATGGGCAAGATAATAAGTACACTTCTTATCAAGCATTGTAGCCTTCTCTTTGTTTCCCCTTCCCATCCCTTCTCATCCTCCCTACCCCCCCACTCAATCCTCCTCCCCTCCCACCCCTGCACCAAAGTTGTAAAGTTCCTTTTCAACATAAGGACTTGTATATCTCATTGTTGCAATGGGTCCACCTGTGTCCGTATTTAAACGATTGTTTTTTCCCTTCCCCTCCACAAATTATACCAACATCAAATACAATGAAAGCAGGGGTTATACCGTGGGGGAGGGACATACAAAGCAACAAAGAAATAAGCTTATAAATGTGTTAGAAACAATCGCATGAAAGAAAAGAAAAACATCTGAATATATATCTTAGGGTTCATTTCCCTAACATCACCTTATCTGACCTTTTCTGCTTGACTCAGGCATATACTAGATATTGCAAATAAGGGAAACCATGGGACCTATGTTTCTTTGGGCCTGGCTTACTTCACTTAATATAATTTTTTCCAAGTCTTTCCATTTCCTAACAAATGGGGCAATGCCATTCTTTCTGATGGAGGCTTAGGATTCCATTGTGTATATATACCACATTTTCTTGATCCATTCATCTACTGAGGGGCATCTGGGTTGGTTCCATATCTTAGCTATAGTAAATAATGCTGCAATAAACATAGTCATGCTGGTAGCTTTAGTGTGGTCTTGTTTGTGAACATTTGGGTAAATCCCCAAAAGTGGGATTGCTGGGTCATAGGAGAGCTTTATGTGGAGTCTTTTGAGGAACCTCCAGACTGCTTTTCAAAGTGATTGAACAAAGTGATTTACACTCCCACCAACAATTCAGTAAGGTTCCCTTCTGTCCACATCCCTCCAGCATCTGTTGTTATTAGAGTTCTTGATTTTAGCCATTCTAACTGGGGTGAGGTGGTATCTCAATGTTGTTTTGATTTGCATTTCTTGTATCGCTAGGGAGGTTGAGCATTTGTTCATGTGTCTATTGGCCATCCTTCTTTCCTCTTCAGATTCTGGTCTTCTTTAGTGCATATAGTTCAGAATTCACAAATCAAAACAATTTTCTGTCACCTTGCCTTTTTGTATTTTCCTGAAAAAATATTTTCTTTCTTTTTTATTAGAGAAAGGAATCAACAAAAACCTAATCCAACCTTCGCCTTTGTTGCTGGTCATCACATGCTATTTCATAGTCCTGTTCAGGGCAAACCACTCCTGTCTTTCCAAGTGGAAAGTAATTCCAGATAGAAAGCAATGCTTTTCTAAGCTATAAACTAGTCTTTCTATCCTCATCAATTTGGCTCAGTCACCCCAGTCAGAAGGACCAGTGGCCAAAGGCACAGAGCTTCAACGCTATGTACAGAGGCATGCTTTGTTCTGATCCTACATAAGAGGACAAGTGTGGTAGAGAAAGAAGTACAATCTTAAATGTGTGATTCTGAAATAAATTTCTTAAAATCCAACAGAAGTGTAAGTATGCGGAGAACATTGCTGTCCAAGGCATCACCAGGGCAAAAAAATTTCCTAGAGGTCCTTCTTGTGTACAAGGAGGGTTCACTCTGCTTGTGCCTTACACATTTGGATACATCTATAAAAGGAACCACAATCCAAGTGACTTAGCTCCAGAATGCATCTGTTTCATTTCTATTCCAAGTAAATTAAAACTCTAACTTTAGAAGAGTACATTCTGCATCAGAATGTAAGGGATATGAAGACCTAAAACTTCCAGTAAATGTCCTAAAAATGTAATAGTCAAAGATAGTACCTAATACATATAATATAGTACTTAATATATAAAATATTCTATATTATATAAGTATAATATATATTATATACAATAATTCTACAGGTCAGAATTCGCAGTACTATAAATCTCTATGTGACTAATCACAAAGAGACCATGTGCCAAGTGTGTGCATCTTGTGTGATTCTAGAAGAAAGCACATGTAAAATGGACCTTGAAATAGGCTATAGAATGAGAAAACAGAAAGAATTAAATGTAGGAAAACTATAACTATATGCTTAGGAAAGTTAATTCCACAATAATGCCAACAGTTATATTTTACCAGTGGTTAGGTTTAGTCCTTTACTTAAATGAATGTATTTTTTAAAACTGTTATGTCTGTACTGGATGGACACATAATAATCTGCTTTACCTATGCAATAGATTTTAATTATATGGCTATCATGTATCCAGCCCTGTGCTGGACACTGGAGACAAAATAAAACAAGAAAAGATGAAATTCTAATGTGCTACCCATAAGCTGCCATCAAGAGGAAAAAATATAAATCTAGGTGCTAGGAACTACAAAGAGACAAAACAACATGGGGTAAAGTCTGAATCTGGATTTCAATTTGGTGAGCAGGTGGGAAGGGGAATAGATACAAATATACAAATACATGGGAAATATTAGCTTACATAGGCAAGTCAGGCACAAAGACCCAAAGAAAATATCTACAAAGGAATGTATAAAATGAGAACAGATTGCAAGAAGAAAGTGGAGCAAGGAAACCAAACACTTTTGAGGTAGAGAGAATAAAAAACTACAAATAATACTAAATGATGAAAGATTCGAGAAAAAAAAACAGGAAACAGTGAAAACAGAATGGAGATCATAAAAGGAAATGTTAAAGGTCATTAGCAATCCATGCCATGGTGGGTCAGGAAAGTGAAGCCTGAAGCAAATCAACTGGTCTGGACAGTTAGGGGTCACAAGAGACATCTACCAGGACAATCTCCATGAAGAGGATACAATCCAAGTAGAGGAGAAACTGAAAACTGACACTCAAGTCCTAAGGTCACTGGACCTGGGCCACATACACTGAATAAAATAACATTTTAATTCAAGTTACATCTTTAAAAAATTGTACATGACCCAAAGAAATAAAGTAATAAAAATTTAAAGATGGACTAATGAAAGACAAAGTACTTGATAATCCCATTTCATTCTCCTACTGACTTCAAAACTTGTGATAGTACACCCTTGGGTATTTCAACATTGAATATTAATTTTTATTTTGAGCTTGAGGGTGGCAAGGTTTCTTTTGGCAGGTTGACAGCTATACTTGAAAGGGTCCCAAGACCTCAGTAGGTATCAACTAGACAGATGGTCAAGGTACAAAGACATTCTGCAACTTATTATTTTTTCCTAGAGGTCTTTAAAACCAAATGATGTCATTAGAACGTGAAGCTTATTCAGCACTTGCCCATCCAGAGAGTCAAGGTGTTTTTAAAATGTCTCTTTGTAACCTTCAGTTTCTTTGAAATAAAAGACAGATGATAAAATATTTGATACAATAGAGGAAAATGAGAAAGCCAAAAAAGAAATTTTTGTAAATCTTAACTGTTTTTTTAATTTGTTTTTAAGACTAGTTGGTCACCTTTCAAATAAGCATTGATTGTTCTTGTTAAACAAGCAGTATACAGTAATGATGTTGATGCTGATAGTAAAATTTAGAGTATCACTATAAATCAAATTGTTTTTTATGAATAGGGTCCTATCTCATGAAGAAACAACAACACAGATGCCAAATTATACTATATTTTATAGGTAACAAAATAAACTAATTGTTTTGATTAGTAGATTCATAGGAAGGCAATCTCACAGAGACAACATACAGCAATGTATTTCAACAGGCACTATTGTACAAGGAAATTCACAATGACCCATTAATCTAGCCAGGGCATCTCCAAAACAGTATTTCCTCATAGTACTTCACAGTATAAGGAATGTAGGAATTCCTAATATGAAAATCACTTACCTAGTTCTTCATTTTCAATGACTTCAAATGTGGCCCAAACATCACCTTTTGTTGGAATGATATTTTTTATTGCTAATATATCATTAGTTAATTCTTCTGCTTCCATCACAGGAGATATCTATAAGAAAGTAATATTTCTTTAAAAAGTATGTCACATACAGAAGTAGCCTTACACTAGGATAGGAATATTCCTCCCGCTAAAAAAAAAGAAATACTCTGAGACTCTTCCTAGAATTGGTAAAACTAGCTTCTCTAAGTACATGAAGAAATAGTATGTTCATTTCTTATCCATTAAAATATAGTACTTTTTAGTATAAACTGATATTACTATAAATATTATTTTAAAAAAACCTCTGTCTCAGTGAGCAATTAGATCACTCAGAAGAGAAGACATTCATTAGACAGACAACAAATCCAATAATCACCTCAGACTAAAACTTTTCATTGTTGGTACTATAATTAAGAGTAGAGAGTGACTTCATTTATCTAGTCTTGGCCCTAACTTATGCACAGTCAACTGAATACTATCTGTCTTGCCAAGAAGCCCCAGGGTTTTGGTAGTGTTGTGCCTTGCCATGCCAAGTGACAGATGGTAGGATACCCAAGTACCCCGGAGCCAGCATTTTGGGGCGTAGGGCAGAGTCTGCAGTGCCAGCCTAAGGCTCAGATTCACAAGGGTCCCAGAGCCTGAGGCCACTGCATAAGCATATCGCCTCTTCAGGGACTTAGCAGTTTTTGATGTGATCTTTTTTTTTTTTGCCAATCTTGAATGCAGTCTGGTAAATATCAAGATGAATTTCTTCAGTTCTAATTTAGTGATAATATTCAATAAAAAATGAAGGTTTTCTAAGATTGAGAGTACTGTGTCAGAATGGTTTTTAGTTAAAAGAAATACATCCCCATCTGAAAATTTCCTAGAAATGTTCTCTAAAGTCTCCCATAGATGTATTAAAGTCTTTGGCATATATTCAAATAAACAAAGATAATTTTACTAAAGTTGACTCACACTGGCTACCGTTTGTCTTTATATGGAATTTAAGGGTTGTCTTTTGGAAAAGGGTAATGAAGTCCACTTAATGAAGTCCATGGTTTTCTATTTTTAAAACACTCAACAAAATATAAACTTAAAAAGGTGGAAAAGAAATGGAAAACTTCAAGTAATACGAACAGCAGATGCACCATTTCAATGATCTTTCAATCTGCATTGATTTAACTGTTTTTATAGCACTATGTAAGTTTGTAAAATTAATAGCAATTACTGAAAAATGTGTTTTTTGAAGTAGAAAATGGAAACCACAAGAGAACCCCAAAGGAGAAATCCAAAAGTTTTCTCATGAGCGCCTAGACCTTCAATTTAGGTATCATTACTTTATGTAATGTAAAACTTACACTATGTTTGGATTATGTTGTTTAGGTTTGTGTTGTGGGCTTAGTATCTTTTATTACCAGTTTAAATTCTGCAGACTTGAGAGATTAGCTGTTTCCATGTACCATGGATCAAGATAATGGTCACCAGAGACAAATTTAACTAAAAGGTTTTTGAAAAAAAAAGCAATACTAAATGAATACTTCTAAATATACTTCAAGAGTTTTTATTATGTTTTTAAGAGTAGGTGAAGTAGTAGTTTCATGTTCAGTTTTTACTCATCAAAATATATCTAAATAATGTGAGAAGTGTGCATAATTGTAATAACTTGTTATGGATTCATAAATGAAACTATACTTTAACATTAGTAATGGAGAGGTCACACAAAATACAAAGCGTGTAAATTAATGCAAACACTTAAAATAGTGTTTTCAATAGCACTCTACATCCTTCTTTAGGACTTACCCGAATTATAGTACTACAATCAGGTCCCTTTCTTTCTACATACACTTCTATGAGCAAATCTCCAGCCTGGGAAACCTAGAAAGCACAAGGGTGAGAAGGGAGCACACAGAAGTATGTCAGAATGCACACATACGACACGGTTACACTCCTAGTCACATTTCTCAGAATCTTATGACAAGGAAATCAACTCATTAGACTGTCGGCAAATATGACGCATGTTCAACTGATGAAGGACAAGGGAGCTACACAAATGTAATCAACAGCAGCAATCATCACAATGTGATTTTGTTAAATCTCTTACACAGGCATTTAAACTTCTCCTAACACTCTTATACTTTTACTGTAATAACTAATCTGGCTATCCTGAGATTGAGCCTTTTGTGGAAGTGTACATCAACAAAGTAAGGAGAAAACGAGGGAAGAAAATGAGCCATGTGTAATTTTCATTCTAAGAATACTGTGTGCATACAATTAGTGATTAAAAGAACAAACGTTTCACTACTAGGCCTGCTAATGAGTGTCAGTGTTGCAATTCTTGGGAGGCTCAAGAAGGAGGAGTCCAAGTTTAAGGCCAACCTGGGCTACATAGCGGAGAGATCTCATCTCAAACCACTCCTCCAACTCAAAAAGATCACCATTTTTTTTTAATGATGTATCTAAACACTGAAATTAGAAGATAAATTATATCAAAGCTATATTCAAACAACAAGTAAATTTCATAAGAAAAAAGTAAAGTGATATAATAAAGGCAAATTTTTATTCTAATTTTCTTTGCGTAATCACTTAAGAGTAGTAATTTGGTCACTATATTAAAGAAGATGGACTGAGCAAACGATATAATTCAAAAAACAGAAGCATAAGTTATAACTACAGGGGCTGGGAAGGTGGCTCAGTGGTAGAGTGCTTGCCTTGCATGCATGAAGCCCTGGGTTCGATTCCTCAGCACCACATAAGCAAAAAGAAAAAATCAAGAAGTGGCGCTGTGTCTCAAGTGGTAGAGTGCTAGCCTTGAGCTGAAGAGCTGAGGGACAGCGCCAAGGCCCAGAGTTCGGGCCCCACGACCGGAACCCCCCTCCAAAAAAAGATATAACTACATAAAGCAATATAATGGAAGTTAAAAAATATCAAAAAAATCCATGAAAAATATTTGAGTACCTTTTGCCAGAAAACCACTTCATAATAACCTCCATTACCCAACATTTTAAAAATGATAATTCATTCTGTAGTTAAGTTTCTCTCAATATAAAATCTAATGAGACAATTTATGGAGGGAATATTTTAAAATGTACTTTAAAGAAATATTCCTAATTATTATGCACCTATAGATATATTGAAGTTTAATTTCTAACCTTCCTCACTTTTAATTCTACATGAAAATTCTAGGAATTAAAAGACTGTTAAAATTTTAGTTTTATCATTTGCATAAATAACAATCCAGGAAGGACACATTTTAATTTTTTTAGAAAGAAAAAAGCAAACAGAAAAAAATCAGATTAAAGCATACAATAAAATATAATTCATTCAAACAGATATTATGAAGACACACCTACACACACACACACACACACACACACACACACAAACTCTGGAGGATAGTTGTGAATGGTTTAAAGAAAAATTCAAGCAAAAGAATCAATGTCTAAAACATTTTTACTTTTCTTTACAAATCATTAATTGTTTTCTTATTCTTACTGGCACTGAAGTGGAAGCATTCAATAAATAAAAATATTCAATAAAATAAAAAATACTGATATTGAGTGAGCATTTTTAGTGTGGAAGTTAACTCTACTATAATTTTCATTATTTCAGACAAATCAAGGCAATAATTTAAATAAATTAATTTTTTATATATGTATGTATGTGTGTGGTGTGTGTACAGTGTGTATACTCTGTATGTGTGTTGGTTCTGGGGTTTGAACTCAGGGCCTGTGCCCTACCCCTGAGTTTTTCACTCACAGCTAATGCGCTACCAGTTGAGCCACAGCTTCACATCCAGATTTTTGGTGGTTAACTGTACTTTTCTAACTGGGTTGGCTTTGAACCATGATCCTCAGATTTCAGCTTCTTGAGTAGCTAGGATACAGGTGTGAGCACACTAGTCCCCAGCACAATACAGTATTTCTACTTAGCATTTCCTCAGCTCCCAATAATTTCCCTAATTAGAAGTAATACATTTCAGAACTAAAGCAAATTTAGGGTCTGACTAACAAAGAAGAATCTGCCTTATTATCTGAGTACAACAGTAAACAGAATACATCCCACACTTTTCTATTATTTACACAGGACCAAAGAATCTACTATAATTCCTAGTGACTAGAAGACGATTCAGGATCAACCTTAAGATGATCTACGATTCATCAAGCAAGGTTAGATTGGTTACCTTAGAAAGAATAGTGAAACTTGTTGACACAAATCTAATTAAATAGGACTGAGGAAAATAAGACAGGATTTAGAAAAGTTGATTCAAATGAAAAATTTTACATGTGTGTTACAAAGATAACATCAGAAAGTCTCTCAATGTAATCATTTGAGAACATGAAGAACAGAAGTATGTAAGACATAATTTATAATTATTATTATGGTGAGAATAATCACGCTGTCTGAATTGATTCAAGTGTTTCTTTGGCTTTAAATGCTTCCTTTGAAATCCAATGACATTACCAATTACGTTTCTTTTATAAATGTTGATAAAATACATCTTTTCCACATAGTTAAAAGTTATGTAACAGATTTTGCATGTGTTTATCAGGATACAGAATTAGCCCATTACTTTACAAAGGTTCTTTATTTATTTGTATCATTATTTCTACTTTGCTCCAAATTGGAACCTGAAAATACGCATAAACAAAGTGTTTTTTTTTCTTTCATTCTTTAGAGATCTAACTAATACTACTCACTTGAGTGTCTTTCCACTTGGTAATAAAGCTATTTTCTATGTCCATTTGTTTCACTTGGTCTTCTTTAACCTGTTTAAAATATAATTTGGGACATTCTAATAATGTAGAATATATGGAGCTATGGCACTCATCCTAACATAACTCTTCAGAATTTAAATACCAACAAGGTACAAACAAATGAGAATGGCCATCTTAATCAGCATGAGCCTGCACAGCTAAAGGCACATATATAGCCAAGAAGTTACAAATCTCATAAAGTTCAGAACCTGTTTGGACATTCCCACACTATAAATTCCAACCCGAGAAGCTCCATTGCTAAGGATATGAAACTTTACAAGGGGCAGATGATTGGCTTCTCAAATCAATTGAGAAATAAAGCTCTTCTCTCAAACCAAAATGTTCATTATGTGCTCATTTAAATCTCTAATCTTCACATAAATTTGGGTTTAACATAACTTTAAAAATAAGCATTTAATTTTTTTATTAATGAAATGGTACCAAACTTGAAAATAAAGACAGCATGTAAAGCCACATTTTTTTTTTTCTGATTACTGCCAAGAAGTTGCTGTTGATCAAATACAGTGGACAAACAGGAAGAAATAAGGAAGAGATTGAAGAAAAAGAAAATGTAATTCTGATGTCCAACTAAGAATTAAAATAAAATTGTTATTTCAATAATATGGTTCCTTCCCCTTTGCCAAGGTATTTTGTGATAATTGACAATAAGAAGTTATAAGAACTCTATAGATAATACCTATCATCTACATCATTTTGTTTCATCATTTATACTGACACCTACCTAAGACAAATCCTACAAATACCATTAAGTGGAAGGCTCAAAAAACTGACAAGTCAGTTAGTTTAGTGATGATCTGGAGCACAGACCCAGACCTGACATATATATAGAAATCCTGGGCTTATTTTCTCTATTTTTATTTTTTTCAATATAAACGTATCACATTATTGTAGTATACTAGTAAAATAATGAAAATATAAACTCCATAAAATTCTAAACTATAAAATCAAATACTTAAAACAGTAATGACATGAAAAGTGTCCAGATTTAAATGAATGCCTATAGCTTAAAAAAAACTACTTATATATTAAAAACATGTAAAGAAAATATACATCCCTTTGTGTTTCCTATTGGTAAATATTTACAAAAACCTAAATAATTACACTTGGAAATATGTGCCTTTCTCGGCAAACAGCAACATCAAAAACATCTTAACAAAAGCAGGATATAAAATATTTACCTCAAATATTTCAACATAATTATTAATTAGGTCCTCAATTACATTCACTTCATCACTAGTTTGTCCCTCAGTTTGAAACAAACAGGATGAAAAAACCAAGGCCAAATTATGGGCATTCATGTGATTGATTTCTGAGCATTTCTGAACCCTGTAAGAGAAAAATATACCTTATCATGACACATTTCCATTTCAAAATTCTAAAGAACTACAAACCAAAATACTCATTTTTCATCTTTTAAGACAAACATACTGAGGTTCTTAAATATAACGGGTACTGTAGTCATTTAAATAAAAATATATGCTTCCTTTCAACACAGCTGAAAGTCTAGTAGAACATAACAAATTAAAAAAATTAGTCTTAAAAAAGATTATACACAAATGACCAAATAGAATGTGTTATTTGGTTAGAGGATAGACTGACCAATCCAATCAGTTTCAATGAATCAACTTGGAGCCAATCCATTAAAAAAAAAAAAAAAGTGCAAGCAGAGTGGTGTAAAATGTCTTATGGGGCTATCGCATAAATGAAAAGAGAGAAAGGGCCAGAGATAAGTAGCAAAGAAGGAAATGAGAATACGCATGAGGATAGTTCCAAATTTTAGACTCAAGACTGAGCTAAATTTTTCATTAAGCACCTACCAGCATAAGAACCTTCTCAGCATGTGTTTATATCGTTACTTAAAACAGAACATTATATCTTAAAAGAAAAAACACAATTTAAATATGTAACTATATTTTTCCTGGATACAACTAAGAATGCCTTTAAAGTAAAAAATATGAACAAACAGATTGCATCAAATGACAGCCATCACTCTAAGCAAGGAAAGAGTTACAATACCAAAAATGCAGTAGACAGGAAATTCAAGGGGAGGTATCTGTTAATAGGCTCTGTTTACTTATCACTGAGTGCATAGAGAGCAGCTGTTCACCTGTATTTAATTGCATTTGGAAAACTTAAAAATACAAACTAAAAAAGACCAAGTGTAAACTCCATTAAAGAAATATGGCAAAACTCCAAGCTATGTGCTCTTGTCTATACAGGATATAGATCTTAGCAGGTACCAAGGAAAAGTAGGTAAACATGATAGTAATATATATGATAATGTAAGATATCCATAATAAAATGCAAACTTGCATAGCAGAGACAGATAAAGCAAGTACAATCATCATATATGATTTACAAGATGCAAAACACATTGGAATTTAATAAAGGAGGATGTAACAATTGCCGAAGCCCTCTCAAAACCACTTCTGTATTTTTATCACACTAGATTGTAAACATCCAGGAAATTTATCTCCATGCCTGCATCTGTTGCTAGAATCGCTCAGCATCTCAGTAAGAGGCTCTTGCTCTAATCACACTGTAGTGCATAACAAATATCTGGGGAGTGGAATTAAGTGGATGGCACCGAGAGCAGAAGTGATCTTTTATCTAGTGTAGGAATTGAATTAAATGCTACATCAACCTGACCTTACCCAAATTGACCATTCAGACTTCTGATGATACGATCAAATGCTCTTGCCTTTTCTGAGACTTCTTAATATTCATCCACCACTCTAACCTCTTTGCCTCTCCTATCTTTAATTTCTGTGACTGCCTTAATTTCTGCAATAAACTGGGTACAGTGTAGAATTTGTTTCTCTCCAGGCACAGGAGTCTCAAGTGTTCCATAATAAGCCTACTCGATCCTTTCTCATTAAAGCCCAAAGGAAAGGGCTCCCTAATTAGTTCCTTTGCCTCTTTCTTACCAATCCCATCACAGAGGCCTACTTCGCTAAAATAGATTCGGTCATGAAATGCTTTTACATGGTATACACGGCCTTTCCCGGCCTCCTCCAATTACCTCTATGTCCCATGAGCTATCTTTCAGTTTTTTTTTTATACTTATCTACCTACATTTCTTTTCCTCGCAGTCAGGGTCTCACTATGCTGCCCATAATGGTCTCTAGTCTGGCCTTCAACTCTTGGACTCAATTCTTCTGTCTCAAACTCCTGAGCAGCTGGGAATACAGATGCACCTCCCTGCAGCCAGCTATGCACCCATCTCTTTGCCAACCCAGTTCATGACTCTATCTGTGAAGAATGGGGATAAAGGAGATATTCCTCGTACGTCAATACACAATAAAACACTCACTCTGCTGCCTAATTCCATGCTGTGAGCTAAAATTCTCTGTATTAAAATTTACTCCATTATCTTATAAACTGTGTTTGTTGGATACGATAGGAGTATCAGGGTTTTTTTTTTCTTTTTTGGTTGGTCATGGGGAAAAAGTGGGAGGTAGTGGGTAACACTTTTCAATAAGAAATGTGCTTATTACCTGAATTAGGTAATTATAACCCTCTGTGAACCACCTCCTGAATTATGTAACTATAACTCCTCTGTTTATCACCTCTACAATAAAATTTAAATTGTATTAGGTTCATAGGCTTGGGAAATAAATCACTAGTAGAGCATTGGTTTAGCATGCACAATCCCTAAGGCCAAAAAACAAACCATAAAAAAATTAGCTTTACAATAATAGAATATATGTGCAGTAAAGTCCTGGTTGAAAAGGATAAAGAGGAAAGGCAACCCAGTATGCATTATTTCTAAATCCAGACTCTGATATGTACTTTTATTAGAATTTGGCTTTATAGAAATTCCTACATTGAAATATTTCATTCATGCAGGGAGCTACAATATATTCCTTCAGCAAAATTTACACTTGTTATAATTCTTGCTGAACTGAACACACAGAAACTAACCTTTCCTTTGTAACGTAACATGTTGTTTTCAAACATCCTCTTCCTCCTTATTCCTCAAGCCAATATTATATTCTTCATCTCTTCCAAATACAACATACCTTTATGCCTATTCTGCTATAAAAACTGTTTTGATTTAAAATTTTTCCAACTAAATGAACAATCTATACCAAAATATCAGTGGTCAGATAAGCTGTAAACTGATAAGAAAGAGAGAATAGAGTTCTCCAAAACAAAACATGATCCTCACAAGACAAACTGGAGTTATAGACTGCTGGTTTAATATACAATGAATCACTCAAACTCTACTTCTGAAAGTTCATGTGGCATGCTGTAAAATTGTATTTATTAAAATTTGTTAGGATGGAAGTGTGGCTCAAGTGGTAATACTGCCAGAAAAAACAACCAACTCTATGTCTCCACTTACCATAAGCAGAGCTAGGACTCTGATCAATCCACTCACCTGTAGAGATGTTCAATTATAGCTGCAAGTGTTGCTCTGTTGACCCCTGGAAGAGTACGTATAAATGCTCCATATTTTTTAGTTCTTTCCTTATCATCCTGTGTATCTGGAGGAAGGTTTAAAATAATCATGTGCATTATAAATTTGCTTTTCAATACCGTTCAAAAATAATAGAGCAAGACAGTAAGTATTGCAGTTGGGTTTTATCTCCGATCTATGTAAGGGGCCTTTCACCAACCCTGTTATGTACAAATCCTTGAGAAAGGTGAAGGGATAACAGAAGAAGTCACAGGCTCACCTTAATACTATGATCTGTTCTTAAGAGGATGATGGACCTTCTGCCTTTGCCATGGGCAAAATTACTTGGTCCAAGGTGAGGAATTACCTGACTTTCTCTTAGAAGTCAAAACTGTAGAGTAACTACAAAAAAGTAACCCTGAAAGTTCCAGTCTCTAAGGGATATGAAGTGGTAGTTCAGTCTAACCTAACAGCTGATGCAGGTAATACTGACCACTCTTCAAAGAAATAGCTCATGCTGACTACGCAACCCAAGGTGACCACACATATATTCCCTTTCAATTTCCACTGACCTTTGGAAAGTATATTTTTTCATTTTCTGCATAGCTCTCCTTATTCTAGTGACAAAGAGCCAGCAGTACATTAATGATTCTTTGAAAGTATAGTCACTTGTAAAGGACATTAGGATTCTTGGGGATTTATAAAAAAAAAATTCTGTGACACATTTTTTAAGCACTTTTATTCAAAACTGCCAGTGATACCTCTTTTGTACCATTTTAGGGCACACAGGATATCTACATATAGTCTTATCAACTGAGGTGCCCTAGTACATGACTGTGTAAAAACAAGAAGAGAAAAATATTCAAATTGCATTCAATTAACCCTGGAAGTCAATCATTTATTATCATTTTTATAGTTCAAACCCTTACCCTTTCTGCTACCAAGTGTGTAATTAAAATAAACAAGATAAGATAAAGTAAAATTTAATGCATGTCCTATAAAATTAAGAAAACTGAGGAGAAGGGTAAGTTTGGGAAGGATAGGGCAGAACAATGAAAGGGTGACACTGATCAAGTTGCACGGCATTCGTAAGCTGCTTTGTTGAATAGAAACTCATTTGTATTACTACTTGTACCACCGCTTAAAGCTAACAAAATATATATTTAATAATTAAATAAATAAAAGCAAAAGATTGAAAGGTAGGGTAGTAAAATTAGCAAATTGGTAAATTAGAATGAAGTAAAACCTTCATCCTAATTGTAATGCTTCAACAAAAGGAAATATTTTATATTAATACATGTACAATAGGATTTAATAAAGTTAATAGGGTCCAATGAATAATTTAATAAACTACTTTCCTAGAGTCATTTCTTAAGTACTCTTATATTTCTTAAGTACTTCTTTATATCACTAGGGAAAAGGAAGAAATAGTAGACACTATCATATCACGCAATTAGCAGGATAAATGACATAGGAAAGACAAGAGTCACATAGTAATTTTCAGATTATCGAAATTTAGAAGAAAACATTAGTTCCACTCGATATTGTATTGATTACCTAAGGCAGAGATCCAGTATGGATAGAGCTCCTTGGTAAGAAGTGCATCATCAATGTCACAGAGAAATCTTTTCAACACACCAGTCACATCTTCAAGCTGATGTTTTCCGGCTCTCAGTTTAAAGCTTCTAGCATCCTTCTTGAAACTATCAAGTAGTTCGCTTATGTGCAAAGGATCACCATTCTTTTGGTAGATATATTTGCATCCTAAACCTTTGTTTAAAATACAGAAATGTAACATGAAGAAATGTCCACTATAATATATAATTATATATTATATATATAATAATTATATATATAATATATAATTATATATATATAATTATTTGATATCTCTATTCGATCTCTTTGAGCATATTCACTTCCTTTCTTGTTCTTTTTAATACTTTTATTACAAAGATATTTGTACAGAGGGATTACAGTTACATGAGTACGGTAATGAGTACATTTCCTATCAAGCATTGTTACCCCTTTCTTTGTTTTTTCCCTACTATCCCTTCCTTTCCCCCCACCCAAGTTGTAAAGTTCGTTTGCAAAATCGTGTCATTGTTACAATGGGTCAACCCCAAGATAGGGTCACAAGTGGTTTCATTCTTTGTCGCTATTGCTTTTAGTGTACTATGTGATTTTTAGGTTTCTTTTGTATGTTCTTCCCCCCATGGTATAACCCCTGTTGTCACTGTATTGGATTCCAGTGCCCTGCATCTCATATATATATTTTTCAAATTTGGGGAAGGGAAGGGAAATAAGAAAATGCTTTATTGTTCTTTCTTATCTCCTCTTGGTCTCTGTATTTCCCTTCCTCTTCAACTTTCCTATCAGTTCCTTTCCTGAATTTCATGGTCTTATTTTTCCTATTCCCCCCATACCCCAGTAATATCTCCAATAAACTACTCAAAAAAACCTGAAAGTGGTACTGTGGCTCAACTGGTAGAGCACTAGCCTTGAACAAAAGCTCAGAGACAGAATCTAGACTCAGCAGAGTACAAGCACCAGGAGAAGAAGGAAGGAAAGAAGGAAAGAAGGAAGGAAGGAAGGAAGGAAGGAAGGAAGGAAGGAAGGAAGGAAGGAAGGAAGGAAGGAAGGAAGGAAGGAAGGAAGGAAGGAAGGAAGGAAGGAAGGAAGGGAGGGAGAAAGGAAGGAAGGAAGGAAGGAGGAAGGAAAGGAGGGAAGGAGGGAAGGAGGGAAGAAAGGAAAAGAATGAAAGAATGAAAAGAAGGAAGGAAGGAAAGGAGGGAGGGAGGAAAGAAAGAAAAAGAAATAAAGAAAAGACAGAAGGAAGGAAAGGAAAAAAGAAGGAAGGAAGGAAAGGCGGGAGGGAGGAAAGAAAGAAAAAGAAATAAAGAAAAGACAGAAGGAAGGAAAGGAAAAAAGAAGGAAGGAAGGAAAGAAAGAGAAAGAAGGAAAGAGAGAAAGAAAGAAGGAAAGAAAGAAAAAGAAAGAAAGAAGGAAAGAAAGAAAGAGAGAAAAAGAAAAGGAAGGAAGGAAAGGAAAAAAAGAAGAAAGGGAGGGAGGGAGGAAGGAAGGAAGGAAGGAAGGATAGAAAAAATAAAGAAAACCAATGACTGAACACAGTAAAAACTACTTGCAAACTTGGATACACCAAAGAATCTGTGTTAAAATAATTTTAATCTCATGTCCTTTATGACATCATGTGTCTTATTTCTTTTTCACTCTCTCTGTGACTACTGCTCTAGTCTTCTATTTATTACACTGGTCTAGACATTGCTAGTGATTCTAAAAATCCATCTTCTTATCTTTTTCCTTACCCGTACCTATGCCTCCAACTAGAATTTTCCAGGGAAACTCTTTCAACCTCGTCTCTCCTAACATGTACATTTCACGCAGGTTTTAATTCCTAACATTTTATTCATATACATGTGTGTACATATATACCACTACACATACATATAACACACAGACTGATACACACAGCACTCATATATGTATGGAAATATCACACACACACACGTGCACACACGCAAGGAATTCTCTTGCCACATTCACTACTTCACCTTCCAACCCTAACTTTATTTTTTGTCATTCCTCGATCTCAGTATATACCATTGCTTTTTTTCTCCTCACCTTCCTTAGAGTTAGAATGTTTCTAACTCACCACATATAACATGATACACAGAATGTAAATAACATGTCACACAGAATGTAAATCATGATCTCATTTTCTCTCCTTCCCATCGCAGATTCTCCTCTTCTGTCTGTGTACTCGATCCCCCACGGTATTTTAAACTGTTTGCCCCTGTTCTTGAACAGCCTGATAGTCTTCTCCTAACCACTGCCTTCAGGGCATAGTTTGAAGATTTTAATATGGTACATAACATTCTAGAGGAATTGCCCTAACTTTCTGCCTCTTGTCTGTACCCCTCCTTCTCACACTGAGTTCTGGTCACATTTAACCATACAAACATCCCTGAGCAGCCAAGCCTAAAGCTTTCCATCTCTCCCTGGGAGAAATTCACCTCTAGTGGTACCATGGACATCTGCAACAACACTGAACTTTACAGAAACACTGAACTTTACACTGACATGTAACTATCGGCTTGTTCGCATCTGATTAATCAATCTATAAACTTACAGATGGATGGATTGTCCTTTTCTCTGTATATATTCAGCAGCTACAGAGACTTGAACTCAATAGGCACTTGATAAATGGCAAACTAATGGAAGAATAAGTAAATTCTACAGAAAAATATTGTGACTATCAATCTGAGATATTACATATTGAGGGGGATTTCTACTAGCTGGTAAGTCAATTCGGTTTAGTGAAGTGAGCAAATTTTGCAGATTACTTTGTTTACACAAGGTAAAATAATGTTCCATTAAAACTATTGAATACTGCACTTCATAAAAATGTTGAAACCCTGAAACTTACTGTGAACTTGAAGTTCAAACTTTGATATGAACAACATGGAAAACTGGTCTTTATATTTTGCCCACAGGCCAGGAAAAGAAATGTAATTATTGCGATAAACACTGTGAGCCACCAATTTGCATCTAAATTCCTATGAAATCTTTCCTGTTACATCTGTTAATAAAATTAACGTTCAACCTCATGTTCTACTTGTGGAAAAATAATATTTTATTGGCTTTATTAATGTGGAAATTAGTGCACATTGTGTGAGAGTTATAAAATAGTAATAATGTTGAGATTTAGTTGAAAGCAAGCTAATGTTTACTGATTTTAAACTCCAGTAATCACTACAAGGAAACTTCTGATTTCCCTAGAGAAACATTAAATTGGTTACACTGAAGCTTGTTAAATTATTTTAATCATTTGTCAGCTTAAGGAAGACCCTATGCCATTGTGGAGATAATATGATGGGAAAATTTCCAATGAGGTTATACTCTTGCTAAAACATAATGTGTGTACCAGTCATTTACACTGATGAAATACAAATACAGGAACATAAATACTGGATACCTACAGCAAATGAAGATAATCTTCTTTGTTCATTTTCAAATAAACATCACTACAGCTCACAAGAAAAATATAAATATACTATCATAGCAACAAAGAAAACTTTCTGCAGTATAGCCAATGTTAAAAACTCAGGTACATATTTTCAGTAGATACATTTAATTCCTGAAACCATTTTCTGACATTTCGTTGCATATTAACATACTGACAGTTTACGATGTTACAGTATGTGATCTGTAGCTCTTTAATTCTTTTGTGGAGAGAGGGGGAGAGGTAATAGTAGGGCTGGTACTGGTGCTTGAACTCACAGCCTACATAGTCACTTAGTTTTTTTTCGCTCAAGGCTGGCACTTTACCACTTGAGCTATCACTACACAGTCTCACAGACTTTCCTGCTCATGCTGGCTTTGAACTGCAATCCTCAGATCTCAGCCTCCTGAATAGCTAAGACTATACATGTGAGCCTCAGGAACCCAGCTGTTTCTAGTAATGGGGTTTTACTATAGTATTCTCCCTAATTATGTCTTTTTCTCCAATTCAAACTTTCAAAGACATCTCTAACATTAGGCAAAAAAAAAAAATGTGAATACATCTCAAAAATGCCAGCCTAACTAGGGCGCAGTGTATTATCCTGTAATCCCACCTATTTGGGAAGTAAAGATAGGAAGAATGGAAGTTTTGATGCCAGCCTACGCACCATGAGCCTTCAAGTCATGCTAACAAGTAAGTTGGTTGTAGTGGCTGGTACATATCTGTAATCTCAGCTATGTACAAAGTATAAGAAGGGAGATGGTAGTCTTTGGTGATCAGCGCAAAAATAAACAACCCTATCTGAAAAATCAATAAAAGTAAAATAAAGGCTGAGGGCATTGCTCAGGTGATAGAGCACCTGCCTAGTAACTGTGAGGTCTTGAGCTCAAACCCTAGTTTGACCCCCAAAAAATTTTACACCAATTCTTTCCCACTTAAAAATGGATAAAAGTTTAAAAACAGTTAACATACAATAAGCAAAATTCCAACTTTAGAGATATGGAAGATTTCTGTTAACAAATTTGAAGGATTCACAATATTTGCAAATCAATGTGAAGAATAAGGGTCACTTGTAGGCTCATAGTATAAGAAATTAAAATGAAGCTGAACTAGCTGAAAGCCAGTGGCTTACTCTTATGATCCTAACTATTGAGATCTGAGGATCTCTGAGAGCAGCCAGAGCAAGGAAATCTTTGGATTCTTTTCTCCAATTAATCACCAAAAAGTCTAAAGTGTACCTGTGGCACAAGTGGTAAACTGTCAGTCTTGAGCAAAAACCAAAAACAAAAGCAAACTAAGGTCCTGTATTCAATTAAGTATGCACACACACGCATGCATGCACACACACAGCTTCATTAAAGTATCATAAGCTTAATAAGCAACATTCTTAATATAAACATTTGACTGCACACTGAATGAAATAAACGCATATGGATACAATTCATGATAGAAAGCTCATGTTTTTTACATATTGTTCCATAGTGCACCATTTCTAAATGTGCTTGAGCAAGTTGAGTTACTCCTGGCTTTATTTTGTTTCAGGCGTAAAACCCTCTGGAAAATACCATATAGCTATTTTATATATGTCTTATAATACATTTTCAGTGTTGTTTCATGCATATAAAGGACACAGGCAATGACAAAATGGCATTCTACAGTAAATGAGGTTTCGTGGGAGCAGGAAGAAGAAATGGCAGAAAGCTGAGCAGTGACTGTGCGTTGGGCTTTCACTGCTGTGCTTATGAAGGTAAAGGCATTAATTCACTCCAATATAGGTTCACTTAGAAACTGTAAGAATGACAGTAAGAGTTCTAGGAGCTGAAGAAAAAGTCTGATACATACCATACTGTGTAACGAATGCTATACAGCTGTTCACAATAATGGGGACGTCGTTTTTGCTGAGCTGCTGATCCTGTAGTGCATTACCATCTGTACCTGCTGCTTTTTCAATTGCAGTACGCCAGACTGTGAAATCCAACTTGCTATGCCCATGGATGTATAATGTTCTGCAAGTTTAAAAAGTATTTCAAATGATAATTTAAAAAAGTACCTCCAAAACTAGGTTATTGAGGGGATGGGTGGGTTTGGGAGAGATGATAAAAAATTATGGAAGGGGTTATGTTGATCATGAGTCATTGTACTTACACACTGTCATGTTGAATTAAAACATCTTTGTACCAGTAGTGAAGGACAAGTTAAAAAAATAAAAACAAAAATAAATACTTCCAGAGAGATTATCATTAAATCCACATGAATATAATCCTATCTCATTTGACAAAAGAAAAATTAGCTGCCACTCAGTTGCTCTGATTAGACGGTCACATCTCCCCATAGAACAGAAGTTTGCCCAATTTGTGCTCTCCTCTGGTCCACCCACCATGTGTTTTGGGTTTTTGTTTTTCTTTTTGCTTTTGGTTTTTTGGTGGTTTTTTTTTTTTTTTTTTTTTTTGCTATAATGAGCTCTGAGCACTGGAACTCACACTTTCTCTGTTTACTAGGCTGACACTCTACCACTGCTTTTTGCTGGTTATTTTGGAAATGGAATTTCACAAACTTCTCTGTCCAGGCTGTCTTCAAACTATATTCCTCCAGATGTCAGCCTCTTTTTTTTTTTTTTAATTTAATTTAATTTTATTTGTGAACATACTGTACAGAGGAGTTACAGTTACATGGGCAGGATAATGCGTACATTTCTTACCAAGCATTGCAGCCTCCTCCTTTGTTTATCCTTCACATCCCTTCCCAGCCTCCCCCCTCCCCCCCAATCCCAATCCTTCTCCTTCTCCCCCCCCCCCCCCCCCCGCACCAACGTTGTAAAGCTCGTTTTGGACATGACAACTTGTACTTCTCATTGTTGCCACAGGTCTACCTGTATCCTTAAACAACTGGTTTTTCCCCATCTCCTCCACAAGTTATACTGACATCAAATATAGTGAAAGCAGGGGTTATACTGTGGAGGAGGGACATACAAAGCAACAAAGAGATAATCTTATAAATGTGTTAGAAACACATGCATGAAAGAAAAAAACATTAAAATACACATCTAAGGGTTCATTTTCCTGACATCACATTATCTGACCTTTTCCGCTTGCAGATGTCAGCCTCTTAAGTAGCTAGGATGAAAGACAGGAGCTACTGGAATCCCCAAAATATTCTATACTATTTCTGAATAACTAGACTAAAATCCTGAAATTACCACTGTTGTCTTGTAGTCATTGCTTCTCATGTTCAAGAAACAGATATTACAATTACAATTTTTGTTATTTCTTTAATGAAGAAAAAACCCAGTTGGCTTTTACAGCATAATTCATTCTGTATCTCCTTCCCTATCACTCTGGTCACAAAGCATTTATTTATTTAATTATTCATTTATTAATTTATTCCCAAGATCCTTTCCATTTTCAGAAATCGAGACTATGCATCATCTGAGGGCCCACACCAAGTCTATGGAGTGATTTCCACTCCAGGGCAGTGGTTCCATAGAATGTATGCAAATCAGTGAATCAGACTTGCCCATCAATGACTGTCCCTGTCTCTCACAAATCAGGGCTCGCACATACACACAAGAGTACAAGAAATGCTAAAAATGGGAATTGCAATCAGATTTTGTCCCAAGTGTCAAGTTTAAGTCTGCCACTTACTTCCTTTGTAACTTTGGAAAAATTTTACAATGGATTCATGCCTCAGTTTCATCACTGATGACATTAAGAAAGTAAGTACCTAGCTCAATACACAATAGATATTAATAAGCAATAATGCACATTAACCAACACATTTTTTAACATTTGAACCTTCATAAGCAGCACAAAAGTATGTGAAATCTTCTTTCTCCATACCAAAGTGCTCCACCAGATAGAGGAGTAGTTAACGTTAACTTGGTGAATATTCCCAATCATGATCATTTGAATTGAGGCACAAAAATTCTTTTTGACTCCAGTATCCCCCAGACAAACACTCACTTGTCTGTTCTTCTTTGCAATACTGCTTTATTTGAGATCTTTCAGTTGTTACTGGAGATTACTGAAACCCCTAACAGAAGCCCTTTCCTGATACTCTCCCCTGCTCTTCCATCCATACTTGTTAGCACCTTTTCTCTAGAAGACACATCTAAAGACATTATATACTGTACTTCCACAGTTATTTTCAAGATGAAAGGATATTCAGGATATCATTCTCCTCCCAAGTTTCCCTGTCATTCCTCTGAGATACACTGAAAGAATCACATCTTCTGTCCACAATATATATTTCCTGTCTTTTTGACCAGTTACTCCAAATCCTCCCCCAAGGATATACTCTAGGTGATGTTCCCTGACATTCTATCTTTGTTCTCCCATGGTTACTTCACCCTCTGCTACACCATCTGTTGTATCTGTGTGTCTTTGCTGCTAGACAGACCCAAAACTTAGCACAGGCAAGCTTAGAAGATGTTGCTGTCTCTCTATTCATTTAGTGGGTGTATAATAGTTTTTGAGTCCTATACCCAGCATAAAACCTGATTTAAAACATAAATTAAATTGACTACAGAAATATGTATAGCAAGAAAAACTATTCGGTCTTAATTTGAAAGTACTGAGAGGGCTACTTTGGATTTACTCTAAAGAGCAAGAATGAGCCACATGAGCTGTGTGGTTTTTTCTTGAGCTGTGAGGAGTTAAATCCTTAACATTTCACATCACCATTGCCCCTGACTTAGAAAGAAACACCAAATCAAACATCCTCCATCCATTTCTTTCTTTTCTTTTTGCAATGTTCCTGTCCTGGCACTATTCCAAACTCATTTTTAACAGCATCTGAACCTGCTGAAACTACTACTTTTTCCTGACACCTTTGTCATCGGTAATCCTCCATCTCGTGCTTTTTGACATCTTTACCTATCTTTTTGTTTTCAATACCACCACAACAGCCCTGATCTAAGGTGTGCAATTTTCTTTTTGAAGAATACTGACACTTGTTCCAATGCTCCTGACATACATTAGCCTTTTTATTTATCCTTTATCATCTTTAGCGCAGAACGGTTTTCTGTTGGGTATGTCTGTTAAAATGGAATGACAAAATTCAGGTCATGTCCTTCGGGATTAGCACGCCCCAACATTATACACAAGATTTTTTTTTGTTTTTTTTTTTAAGTATGTCTTACTAAATCAGGAGTTTAGAGAAAGAGAAAAGCATCCAATTTTTTATTTTAATATACTTTTACCTAATAATTAAGCTCTAAAAATAATATAAAAATCTTTGGATGTTGTTCTGCATAAAATATATAGTATTTTATGGGCAAGCATTTCAGCAAGCTGTGGAAGAAATTCAAGAATTGTCTTCAGTACACCAGTAAAATTCTGTCACTGCGAATATTTCAAACTTCAAACTTTCATTCTAGTTAAAACTTAAGACTTGTTGACATGTTTAAATGTGTTTTCATGAACTAGTAAAAAGTAGAACAAGGAATGACAACTTAACTCTCAAGTCAACTTGTCAAAGAGTGAATCCTAAAATATATTATCTAATACAGTAGATGCTTGACATTTAACAGCATCATTCAGCATCTCTGCTGCTAATCTGAAGTCTGTACCTACCAAACAAAAGCATCAAGATATTTTCAACTCAATGTTGATCAAATGTTATCAAATAACCATATTGTAGTTATGAATCCAAATTCTATCCTGAATATCTGAAAAAAGTTATCTTACTAAACTCTGTAAGAATTAGTTCTGCTAGCTGTCCATTTCCCAAGAAAAAGTTTCAAATTCATCAAAGAAATGTTTCTAGTTTTTATAATCAAGGTACCTTCATAACACCTAAAAATAAAGTCTAAGGACTGATACAAAAAACAAGTCTCTTAAAATTGCCATATAAACCACAAAGTATCTACAAACATATTTAGTCCTTTTCTACTGAAAAGAGCCAGAAGTATCTTTACAGTAAGATCAATATATTTATCAGTATAAAAATAAATTGTCAGAAAAGGTAACTGTACATAAATTTAAATAGCAAGTAACATATAAAATGAATACAGACCAAAAATGAAAATATGTGAAGTATTTAAAAAAAAACAAAACTAAAATCCCTTAAGTCCTCAACAGAAATATAGTCACCATAAAATGAGGTTGAGAGAGAAATTTTAATAGGGAGCATATTCAGCAATATAACAGCCAAAGAAACATGTGTGAAAATGGCAAAGTTACAGTTTAGCAAAGATTTCAAATGTGAACAGTTCATTACTAAAAAGCCTACCAAGAACAAACAGTACTCTATAGTGCATACACTAAAAAGAGATTGGGTAATATGTACTTAAACCTAACCTAAGTTTGCATAACTTTGACAAGTAAAGCCAATGAAGCCAATGACAGGACTTGACCACAGGTATATGATTTGAATGTAAGGCATGATACCTGTTTTGGTCTCTGTTCTATTCCTGGGTACATACCAGCACACTGAAAATAAGCTTAAAGCTCCCAAAGTAGGAGAAGTTTAGGTGATTCAGGGTACACCTATGTGAACCTTCTTATACGTATTTCAATCTGGGGTAAGTGCCTATGGACTAACTGAACTGTGGCTTTCTTACATAATAGTAAATTTAACTGCATGATAATACTCAGCATTTTACATACTAGTAAATTTAACTGCACGATAATACTCAACATTGAGGCACCAAATAGGAATGTACTCTTTTCCTATGGAGAATGTCAGTATTAGTTTTTACTTTATCTGGCTGTTGGATCCCAGACAACTAAACGAGTAATTAATGCCTTGAAGGTCTGCTATGTAAGTCAAGAAAGGCTGTGTAAGTCTTTATACAGTGATGTTATCTCCTGCAGGTGGTGACTAGGCAGGATGCTGCTTAACAAAGTCTAACCCAAGTTGCACAGAACTGGAAGATACACTTATGCTCCCCAAGCTCTGGGAATTATTCAATTCATGACATTCTGGGAAGTGCTTCTGTATGAACACCTAAAGAGTTTCATATAAAGACACATATACAGATCAACAATGAAGCAAAGAAACATCCATG